GATGTATAATTTGCAGACGCTCTGTCCATAACACCACGGAGGCGGTCGCCTTTTTATAGCAGATGTGTACAATGAGTGAAGAGTGAGTGAGTTTAGTTTTACGTCGCACTCAGCAATATTCCAATCTAGTTATCAACTGCATGAGCATCGATCTCCGCAATTGGGAATCGATGACATGGGTCAGCGAAGTCAGCGAGGGTTCCTGAAGATCAATTCTAACCCGAACCGTCACGGGTACAATGAGTGAAGACCATTATATATGTGCTGTATTTGTTAAATTTCGGAAATATGACAAATACCAAACTCACGCAAAAAATGCATTGACCATTCCGTCTGACAGATATCGAGGAGACTAGTTGGTTTCAAGTCCACCAGCGCTATGACAATATTCATATTTTTTTCCATCCGATGTGCACTTTGTGATCGAGCCTTTCTTTCCACATCTAGGTCATACGCCGTGTTATGAGTGAGTGAGTGAATGAGTTTGGTTTTACGTCGCTTTTATCAATATTCCAACAATATCAAATTGACTTCACATATTGTACCCATGAGGTGAATCGATCCCGGGTCTTCGGCGTGATGAGCGAACGCTTTAACCACTGGGCTACCCCACTGACCCCTGCCATGATGTAACACAAATACCGGTTTAAGTTGCGTTCAACCAAACGCACTCGTTGGGATTTCGGGGGCTTCTGTGGTCGCTGTTGGCGATTAAAAAGGTCACCACATGAAGAGTAACCAGCGTCAAAGCTCTTCACAGCGAAAGCCCCCGTTCGCGGAGCCCTCAATACCACGCCGATGTGTTTGTAGTGATTGAGGTAGTGTGTATGATTTGAGCCTGATTTTGTTTGTTTTTGGCAACATTCCATTAACACCACGAGATAACAGAAACCATCCTCGATAATCTCTAGGGTATACGTTACGATCACTCTCCACTATACCCTGGATGCATCCAATTCATACCAGCAATCATAATAATAGTCACTCGAGAGAAATCTAAACATATTCTACATAATGGCTGTACACAGATCGTACAAGAAAATAGCCTTCATTCTGAATCCAGAGAACGTATGGAACCAAAAAGGAAAAAAAAAAGTATTTCTTCCAATACACTTTCTTTGAAAAGTGTTCGCTTTGCTGCAATATTATTCAGACACAATTTAACAAATGCTGGAGATGTCGAGGTCCATATAAACAGGCCGTCCGGGGAAATGATTGGGAATATGTCCCATTTGGAAACATGTGTGACAATTTGTTCAAATAAGAGACTAGTCTTGTACGACATACTTTGTGGTCGACCGTAAGAATCCCAATCATGAGCGTCGATCTAAGCAAATGGGATACGATGGCATGTGTCAACCAAGTCACCCGATCCCGTTAGTCGCCTCTTACGACAAGCATGGGTTGCTGAAGGCCAATTCTAACCCAGATATTCACGGGTCTTAAAACAGTTATCAGAGCACGTGTGGTTTAATTAGCGGCTACTTAAGTCTTAACTTGGACGACATACACATTATTAAAGGTCACATGCAACGTAAAATACAACTTTGCAGATTCTGATACCTTTCGGTATGGTTTCGGTATGGACTTACCGAAACAAATCATCAAAAATGCAAATTCAACTTATAAAGTTGAAAAATTACGCGATGAAAAAAAACGCGCGAAATCGGAGTTCAAACGATTCACTAATTTTCCCCCGACTTTTCGGGGGGAAACTGGTTTCAACAGCTGGGCTGCGCTCATAGCACGTGTTCAGTGAAATATTTTCGCCTAACTTGGAAGCGGGTTGTCCGGTGAATACTCGGTGAAGGCTTTGGTTTGAGCTATTTTCCTAATGTTTTGTTGATTTCTCACAGGCGCGAGCTTTTTATATATTATGACAGTAAATAAACTGTTTATATAATTTCATTTGTCTATTTCACCACACGTTCTTCTTACCGAGTCACTTTCTCAGTTCGATGCTTAAAAGCAATGTCATTATTTAGCGTTGACAGAATTTCTAACTGTGATATAGATATGTCGTTGTCACAGACAAAACTCAATGTCTTGTTTTATTGACACTGTGTGTCTGCCTGCCTGTCTGCTAATGACAATATTCAATACACAACTGCGATCACTGACCACATGCAATTTGAACTTAACACCAATCAGGCTATACACCATAAACAAAACGCATTGATTTATGGCCCGAGTTCGGTCTCTGTCACATTATGTAATTACACAGACAGACAGGTGTGATACTTGAACACATGACATGTTATGATGTCTGTTGAATGCAAAATGTTATACACAAAAAATGAGCATGTATTTACAAAACCCAACATCTCTATATATACACACACAATGAGCCGTGAAGGCATCTGCAAATGAACCAGCCGTTACACTTGAGTGCACACCCACCCGCTCTGACTGGGTTCGGTATCCCGGCTGCTTCGTTTCTTGGGAAGTAAACCCAAGTACACAATATTGCACTTTTGATTTGCGATTGTACGCTTATAATTTTGTTTATATGTTTTTTCATAACCAGCAATGTATATTATATGTCATGAATAAGTGATAACTGTGTTTTAATTATGTTTGTTTTTTGGTTGCATGAGACCTTTAAAGATACCGTTAATATAACAATACTGCCACAAGGACATAAGATTACTTAATTTGGTTACATAGTCACACTGACTTTCGAACTGTGAAATGAAACTCAAGATTACAGTTTCCCAAGGTTGACGCATTGTCGCTGTGTTGGGGCATGCGCTGTTATCTCAAAAACTCGGGCGCTCAATCGCTTCATCTCAACTTCCGAGAAGTGTGCTGATTACGAGGCAGTATATTTTTATCCCAGAACGCCGACGGGTAGATAATGTTTGATATTGAATTAGTCATTCTTGATAGCACGTAGGTCGCCATCATCCGACTGTCTTGAAATGAAAGGATCGTGGGTACAGAAGCTCACCTGCAATTTTAGTGATACAAGGTTTGAAGTGCGAGGGTGCGAAAAAGCAATTTTTACAATAGAATAAAAAAAAAAACATTCCAAATTCATAAGAAATTATACAATTGTGACTGTATCATGAGCATATATTTGTTTCAACGGTATTACTGCTGTGTGATCTTGTTTGTGAATAAATCAAGTCTGGACCAGGCAATCCTGTGATTGTCACCATGTGATACCATGACAGAACATGTGTTTAACTTTATGAATCATTACAAAATAGTGATGATACCAGGTGTTCACAAATAGGTGAACGTATCCTGCCCCACCGGTGTCTACCTTCACAGGTGTCGCCAGTAACATGGGTGGATACAGCTTTTTGAGAAGGGGTGAGGTGTGCACACTCTTAAGAAAGTGTCAAAGGTCATTTAATAAACTTTCAGGACACCCCCCCCCACCCCTCTGGATCTGCCAATACGTTATAAACATATTCAAAGTCTAGTCAATTGTTCACCTGAATAATTCAGAACATATGCTACAAATCAAAATAGGGACTTGCTATCATTCAAACTTTAAGGGTTTTGCTGTTGAAGATATTTTGAACATCTTCAGTTTGTGTGATTCCTTCTCAGTGAGTGAGTGAGTTTAGTTTTACGCCGCACTCAGCAATATTTCAGCTATATGGCGTCAGTCTGTATATAATCGAGTCTGGACCAGACAATCCAGTGATCAACAGTATGAGCATCGATCTGCGTAATTGGGAACCGATGACATGTGTCAACCAAGTCAGCAGCCTGACCACCCGATCCCGTTAGTCGCCTCTTACGACAAGCATAGTCGCACCAGAAATGGGATTCACACATTGCACCCATGTGGGGAATCAAACCCGGGGTCTTTGACATGATGAGCGAACACTTTAACCACTAGGCTACCCCACCAGCCCTAATGCTTTAGTACAAACAGATCCTTGGATATGTATTCTAGTTTCTGTGATTCAAAGGCACATAAAACAAGAACTGGTGGGGTGGGGTGGTATCCATGGGAATGCAGTATGGCATCTGCGTGGCTGGCACTTTAACACTGACATTCGTTCTGACTAGTACAAGCAGCCACAGACACACATTCATTCATATGGTTAGAGACCTGAAATACTTAAATGTGACCAAACTTTACCTCATATATTACCTGTCTGACAATCACAATGACTATAGTTTTACAAGACTTTTTAACATTCCAGCATTATTGCTGAAGGAATACCAGAAATGGAACTTCACTCAGTCTAAACCCCTGAGGATTCAAATTTGAAATGAGCAGCAAACCCTCTAACCAGTTAGAGTTAATCTATCAGCACTCATAGCTACGAATGCTGTCACAAAATTACTAGATACGCCATTTGCTTCTAAATTTGACACTTTCAGGGTACCAAAAAAAATCAAGAAATACTCTAATCTCTTGATTAGGCAACAGGCAATATATAACAGAAGCCATTAGTACATTCATGTTCAAATTTTGATATATTATGATATTCATATCTCATAACAACATAGAAATCAGAGTGATATTGAAACATCTGTCCCAAGCAACATCTGATCAATAATGACTGGAGCATATTCATAAATCAATGTAGGACAATGTTGCATTCTGTGCCTGACTGTTACTCACAGTTCATGTTGTCTTGCACTGTTATTCAATGTCTGCCTGGTTGATAAATACCTCGGAATAAGTGTGAGAGTGGTTTTACAGGGCTTTGAAAGGTATTTCGGTTATATCACTGCTTGTCAGCTTGAGGAGGAAGGAAAGTCCAAAGTGACGCAGGTCTTTGACACCTCAACTTTGAGGGTTTCATGAGCCTGACTGACTGAGTTTAGTTTTACGCCGCTTTTAGCAATATTCCAGCAATATCACGGCGGGGGACACCAGAAATGGGCTTAACATCATGAGCATGATATTGTATCTGTGCCATGATATTGTACCTGTACCAATGTTCATAGGTTTCTGCCCCCCAAAATGGAAAGTGAGACCTGGACTGAATTCACAGGTCATGAAGAGTTGGCTGACAATAAAGGCAACATTTTGACGTTGTTTTGTTTGTTGTTTAACACCACCATTATTAACCATTCCTTCTGTAGGACAGCTGTATAGTTCAGTGATTGACATCCGAAGAATTCACCACGGAATTGGGAACCAAGTATGCAAGTCTGACCACCCGATCCCGTTAGTCACCTCTCACAACAAGTGTGGGTTAGTGAAGACTAATTGTAACCCGGATCTGGTGTGATAACATGTATATGTGACAACTCCTGGAGCCAGAGATGACAGGATGGTGGGGTGACCTCTACCAATATTGCTGTACAGTGACATACTTGTCCATAGGTACTGAGTTTACTTTTACGCGCGCTCAGCAATATTCCAGCTATATGGTAGCGGTCTGTAAACAATTGAGTCTGGACCAGACAATCCAGTGATCAACTGCACGAGCATCGATCTACGCAGTTGGGACACGGTGTGTCAACTAAGTCAGCGAGCCTGACTACCTGATCCCGATACAACCAGCATAGGATTCTGAAGATCACTTCTAACCCGGATCTTCACGGGTTACTTGTCCATAATGTCAGGATGGTTTCAGGAGCCTGTAGGCCTGACACTTTACAGTAACATACTTGTTCATAACATCAGGAGAGTGTGTACACCTGCTGGTCCCACACTGTACCGCAACATACTTGACCATAATGGCAGGGTTGTGGTCAGACCTACAATAACCCGTCAAGGACATCAGGATGGTTTCGGGAGCCTGTACACGCCACCACTGTACAACAGCTTCTGTTCCTTGACCTTCCTGTCGAGGAAGACCTTGAGCTCCTGCACACTACACTCCCCAGTACTGGGACCCTGCATGGCAAACATCCTCAACATGCTGTGGATTCGCTCTAGCGGCAGACACTCCAAGTTCGTCAACATCCCCACGATGTACGTCCAGAACACCTACAAGGATGCAACACCAATAATTAAGGTCTACAACAAGAGCACAAACTCGGTAGATTTACCATCATTTAACATGTATTCTTCATAGGAGTGACAATTTAGGTTTCTTAGGAGAAATTGTTAAATCAGGAGACATTCATAAAAAAAGGGGGACATAAGACCAAAGTATGTTTTCTTTAAGAAATCCTTCTTTTTAACATCTCCGAGAATACTGAAGAACAATCAAATACTATCTAAGGCAGGGTTTTTCATCACTGAAAGGTCACATATTCATCAACTAGTGATGAGTACAACTTTTGTCTATGAGGGGTAGTATAACAGAAACACTGTTACACTCAAAACTATGAGCTGACCAATCAGTTCATATTAAGGGGGCCCATGGGAGTGATATTTGTTGAACATTTTGTTTTCTGTGTGCCAATGCTGCAAGAGCACATTCTAGATCCATGACTGAGGATCCCCCTTTAACACTGAGTAGAAGGCAGCTACCTGTAGTTCTTCCTCCCTCTGTTCCTGTGCCGATGCCATGGCCGACTCAGCCTCGTCATCATCTGCCCCCATCATGTCGTGTGTGCCTCCCTTGTGTTCCTCCACCAGGACGAAGGTGTCCGGCACCTCCTCCTTCAACAGCCCCTGACTCTGCCAGTACGTGATCTTCCGGCGCAGTGCGGATGCAGGCATTTGGAGGACGCTGCTCAACTCATCAACTGTCCATTTACCTGAAACATTCACAACAATCATTATAAGACACAACATGTCCACCTGTGCCTACTGTCAGTGGAAGGAGCTCACTGATGAATGGTATGCTGAATGCCTGTTATTTTTCCCATACATTGTTTCTCTAAACTAAAAGCGATGTCCAGTAACCATCATAACTGTATTATGGTACATAATTAAAATTGAAACTATGTCAGAAACTGCATGATAATGGCAGCATGTACAGCAGACAACAGACCCAGGGGAGACCACTGTTTAAGATGAAGTGGGGCATGAGTTATCTACCTTGACTCGGGTACTGCATGATGATGGCAGCATGTACAGGGGAGACCACTGTGTAAGATGAAGTGGGGCATGAGTTATCTACCTTAACTCGGGTACTGCATGATGATGGCAGCATGTACAGGGGAGACCATGAGGTGGGTGGGGATGGGATCTACCTACCTACCTTGACGGGTACTGCATTATGATGGCAGCATGTACAGGGGAGACCACTGTGTGAGATGTGGTGGGACATGAGTTATCTACCTTGACTCGGGAACTGCATTATGATGGCAGCATGTACAGGGGAGACCACTGTTTAAGATGGGGTGGGACATGAGTTATCTACCTTAACTCGGGTACTGCATGATGATGGCAGCATGTACAGGGGAGACCACTGTGTGAGATGTGGTGGGACATGAGTTATCTACCTTGACTTTGGAACTGCATGATGATGGCAGCATGTACAGGGCAGACCACTGTGTGAGATGTGGTGGGACATGAGTTATCTACCTTGACTCGGGAACTGCATTATGATGGCAGCATGTACAGGGGAGACCACTGTTTAAGATGGGGTGGGACATGAGTTATCTACCTTAACTCGGGTACTGCATGATGATGGCAGCATGTACAGGGGAGACCACTGTGTGAGATGTGGTGGGACATGAGTTATCTACCTTGACTTTGGAACTGCATGATGATGGCAGCATGTACAGGGCAGACCACTGTATGAGATGTGGTGGGGCATGAGTTATCTACCTTGACTCGGGTACTGCATGATGATTGCAGCATGTACAGGGGAGACCACTGTGTGAGATGTGGTGGGGCATGAGTTATCTACCGTGACTCGGGTACTGCATGATGATGGCAGCATGTACAAGGGAGACCACTGTGTAAGATGAAGTGGGGCATGAGTTATCTACCTTAACTCGGGTACTGCATGATGATGGCAGCATGTACAGGGGAGACCACTGTGTAAGATGAAGTGGGGCATGAGTTATCTACCTTAACTCGGGTACTGCATGATGATGGCAGCATGTACAGGGGAGACCACTGTGTGAGGTGGGATGGGATATGAGTTATCTACCTTGACTCGGGTACTGCATGATGATGGCAGCATGTACAGGAGACCACTGTATGAGATGTGGTGGGACATGAGTTATCTACCTTGTCTCTGGAACTGCATTATGATGGCAGCATGTACAGGGGAGACCACTGTATGAGATGTGGTGGGACATGAGTTATCTACCTTGACTCGGGTACTGCATGATGATGGCAGCATGTACAGGGGAGATCACTGTGTGAGATGTGGTGGGGCATGAGTTATCTACCTTGACTCGGGTACTGCATGATGATGGCAGCATGTACAGGGGAGATCACTGTGTGAGATGTGGTGGGGCATGAGTTATCTACCTCGACTCAGGTACTGCATGATGATGGCAGCATGTACAGGGGAGATCACTGTGTGAGATGGGGTAGGGCATGAGTTATCTACCTTGACTTTGGAACTGCATGATGATGGCAGCATGTACAGGGGAGACCACTGTGTGAGATGGGGTGGGGCATGAGTTATCTACCTTGACTCGGACCACTGCATGATGATGGCAGCATGTACAGGGGAGACCACTGTGTGAGATGGGGTGGGGGTTATCTATGAGTTATCTACCTTGACTCTGGAACTGCATGATGATGGCAGCATGTACAGGGGAGACCACTGTGTGAGATGGGGTGGGGCATGAGTTATCTACCTTGTCTCTGGAACTGCATGATGATGGCAGCATGTACAGGGGAGATCACTGTGTGAGATGGGGTGGGGCATGAGTTATCTACCTTGTCTCTGGAACTGCATGATGATGGCAGCATGTACAGGGGAGACAGAGAATGGCAGCACCTGTTCCTTCAGCTCAATCTCAATGTTCACGAGGCCTGTCAGAGAAACAGAGCGATTGCTGACTAAGGTGTATCGTGACTGGTCACCAGACTCTACCAAAGTTGACTAACATCAGCAACTGTACACTTTCTTCTAAACATATTCGTTACTATCATCTCAGATAATTAAACTGAAATAATTTTACAAGATTAAGTCAGTCATAAACTGCAAAAACAATCAATACTGCAAGCAGAAGAAGATACCATGAAAAGACAACAAAATACAGCAGACTAGCAAACATATCATGAGGTCACAGATGACAGCTGAACTGAACGACTATCTTTGTAGGCGAATTAGATGCTTGATTGGCATTTTAGAAGATGATATTTGATGAACATAGAGATTTTTCTGGGTTACATCTTCTTTTTTATTCTCGAGTACAACGTTTCAGGGCTTGTTCTGGCCCCATCATCAGGTAAACTGAACAGTAACTGTTAACTCTGGCCGTGACGTCACAATGCTTATGACGTCACAATGCTATGACGACGCAATACATGTGGTGGTCAATAGATACAGATGACATGGCTAATAGAATACATGTTATTATGAATATATAAGATGTCATTTACTGCAAAATTAATGGATCAATTTAGAACTGTGCAGATACTTATACAAAATTGTTGATTGAATTAGAAATGTACAGAGACGTATTTATAAATGTATAGAATGTAAAGTAATAGCAGTGTATACATAGAAATTATGCTTTATACATGGGAACAGTGACGAGGGTAGGGTATTGTCTTATTGTTTTATGTACCATGCATTTGGGAGGTAGACACCCTGGTCCCTGTTTATTGCTGGTTTTGTGCGTTTGATGAAGATAGCCTCAATCAACTTGCGTTTACGCCAGTCACTGATGTTTTTTTGAGAGGACTTCAGTTTCCCAGTCAATTTCATGATCGGGATTATTCATAATGTGTTCAGAAACTGCAGATTTCAGATCTGATTTGTCCACTGAAGTTTTGTGTTCTTTCACACGTGTAGCTACTGGTCTGCCTGTCTCACCAATGTAGATGTCACCACAGTCACATTTCAGTTTATACACACAGCCTTTGTGCCAAATCCAAACTTGATAGTTACAAGGAGAAAACTGTTGTCAACCTAAGTAGCAAAACTCTAAGTGCAGCTCAGAAATCCTTGTTGTCTAAAGGACTTAAATTTATCCCAACAACAGCTTCAGCCAACTCAGATGACTACATCGCAAGCATAGAAAGTGGTCTTCAACAACTTGCACCAAACGGAAATGTAGACTACTTGCGTCATCAGATATCGGCCTTGCTACAGCAACAACCCAAGAATAAACCCAACCTGACCAAAGATGAAAAAAGTGCCATAGCAGATTTACGTGATGATGCTGACATCACTATCACCGAAGCCGACAAAGGAAAAGCAGCCGTCATTATGAATACACCTGAATTCCTGACCCTGGTTAACACTACCTTAAGTGATACCTCCACCTACAAACTAGTGTCTAAGGACCCAACTGCAAAGTTAGAATCTAAACATAAGAAGAACCTGAAAACACTTCATGACAAAGGTGAGATTAATGATATCATACACAACAAACTGAATCCCAACAACTCCCAGCCACCTTACGCTCGTGCCACCATCAAAATTCATAAATCGCCAGTGAAGACCAGAATTTTAGTGTGCTCCCGAGGGTCGGTATTTTACAATACTGCCCAATTCCTGTCGAAACTTTTATCACCATTAGGGAAAGAAGGTAAATCCTTCATCACTGATTCATCATCATTTGTTAACAAACTTAAGGATTACCAAGCTTGTGGCACCATGGTCAGTTATGACGTGGTAGACTTATTCACTAACATTCCTCTAGAAGAATCCCTAGCAATCCTACGATCCCGATTAGAGTCCTGTATAGACCATATCGAAACAAAACTTTCCATCGACAGCATCATCAGCCTTGTATCCAGCTGTTTTGAAACATCCTATTTCACGTGGCAAGATCAGATATATCAGCAGATTCATGGTCTGCCCATGGGATCTCCACTCTCACCTCTCATAACTGAGATATTCATGACCAACTTTGAGGAAATTGCTCTGGCTACTTCACCATTCCAACCACTATGTTGGCACAGGAAAGTTTATGACACGTTCTCTATCCTAGACAACCATCATGACCCCAATGCACTCCTAGATCACCTCAACAATCAACACCCTAGAATTAAGTTACGATGGAAACAGAACAGCATAACAACCTCCCTTTCTTGGACATCGCCATTGACAACTCAAACACCCAGCTCATCACGTCGGTCTATCGGAAACCTACCCACACAGAAAATATATTCACTATCACTCAAACCACCATCCCCAAATCAAGAGAGCAATTGTTGCCACACTTGCGAGACGCCCGAAAAAGATTTGTAAGCCTGACCTACTGCAACAAGAAACAGACCACCTGATGACAACATTCATCACATACAATGGTTATCCAAAGAACCTTGTTGAAACCACCATAAAGAAAACACTACAAGATCAAGTTCAGCCTCCTCCGAAACCTGAACCATCTCCCATCCGCATCAACATCCCGTATGTTGGGCCCATCAGCCACCAAGTCAGCAGACTCCTAAAGAAAATGGCCAGCATTGACACCACTTTCTCGTCTGGCAAAACCCTTAAAACTTTGCTACGTGCAAATGGTAAGGGGTGCAATCACGCTATATCCAACCCTAAAGGCTGTGTGTATAAACTGAAATGTGACTGTGGTGACATCTACATTGGTGAGACAGGCAGACCAGTAGCTACACGTGTGAAAGAACACAAAACTTCAGTGGACAAATCAGATCTGAAATCTGCAGTTTCTGAACACATTATGAATAATCCCGATCATGAAATTGACTGGGAAACTGAAGTCCTCTCAAAAAACATCAGTGACTGGCGTAAACGCAAGTTGATTGAGGCTATCTTCATCAAACGCACAAAACCAGCAATAAACAGGGACCAGGGTGTCTACCTCCCAAATGCATGGTACATAAAACAATAAGACAATACCCTACCTCGTCACTGTTCCCATGTATAAAGCATAATTTCTATGTATACACTGCTATTACTTTACATTCTATACATTTATAAATACGTCTCTGTACATTTCTAATTCAATCAACAATTTTGTATAAGTATCTGCACAGTTCTAAATTGATCCATTAATTTTGCAGTAAATGACATCTTATATATTCATAATAACATGTATTCTATTAGCCATGTCATCTGTATCTATTGACCACCACATGTATTGCGTCGTCATAGCATTGTGACGTCATAAGCATTGTGACGTCACGGCCAGAGTTAACAGTTACTGTTCAGTTTACCTGATGATGGGGCCAGAACAAGCCCTGAAACGTTGTACTCGAGAATAAAAAGAAGATGTAACCCAGAAAAATCTCTATGTTTATCTTTGTAGGCGTTTGCCAGTGATTCTGACAGAAAAACAACTGGCATATCACAGATAAAGATCTAAGAATACATGTAGTAAGTAACTTTAAAATGATATCGCTACTGGATATCTACAAAAAGAATGGCAGAAACTTACCTAAGTGGGGTTTATAGCTAAGGGTTCTGTTTCCTTTCAGTGCCTCAAAACGTTTGGTGTAGTTTTCCAAAGCTTTCTGCATTTCTTCTGGCAGAGTTATCTTCTCTTCTCTGAAGGCTGGCCAAAACTGAGCTGACAGGATCATGGCATTCATCTCAATATCCTGGAAAATGATTCAAGTAACAACCACTATTATCATCATCATCATCATCATCATCATCATCATCATCATCATCATCATCATCGTTATCATCATCTTTTTCGTTGTTGCAACAAATGCTCAGGTGGTCAAACTCACTGACTTGCTTTGACACATTTCATCATATCCCAATTGCGTAGATCGATGTACATGCTGTTGATCACTGAATGTCTGTTCCAGACTCAATTATTTACATACTGCTGTCATATAGCTAGAGTATTGTTGAGAGTGGCGTTAAACAACATCCAAACCAAACAAATCGTTATTGCAGCACCTACCTCCTTGACCCCTAGCTGGGCCTTCTCCTCAGTGATCCTGGTGTTAATTCTCTTAGAGTCCGCAACGTCCTTCAGCATCACCTCACAGTAGTGCAGCTGCGACTCCCCAAACCTAAGCTTCAACAGCTCCAGGTAGCGCAGCTCACGCTCAATGTCATACGTGAACTGGGTCAGGATGCGGTCCGCCAGCAGTGTGCGGTACTCGTTCACAAACAGCTCTTTGCTGCCGTAGATGTTCACCAACATACTGATGATATCAGACGCTCTCCGGCTCTTGGATGTTGTAGCTGGAAAGAAACATTAACCATAGACAACACACCTAAGATAGCAAAGTGATTGAGTGAGTTGGGTTTAACATCACTTCTAACAGTATTCTATTTACGTACACCATGTCAACTTAATGTGAGAAAGCCTTAAGGTCCTAGACTTTTATCACTTTGGAAAGACCCATGAGTAAGGGTATGGTGCTCACAAACCTAGAACCATAGAGAGGGTGAACTGGATTCAAACCCAAAATCATACCTTTTGTGCTTGCCCAAGGGAAGCAACTGCAGACAGGAATTGAGACAACTGAGCCGTCCATGGCCTCTACGACAACAAGGACATGAGCTGTCTTAACTGCTGTTTCAGAAAAAGGTCTTCTTCTATTACTGCTAGACCCTGTGTTGTTTTACACTTTGATTAACAAAATTCCAAGATTTTCACAGCAACCATTCAAATTCCAGGATTTTCACAGCAGCCTGGTATATGATCAACCCTGTGATAAGGCTGGAATATTGCTAAAATTGGCAATACATACCAATAACTTTGACATATCTGCATCAGGGTGAGAAACTTGGATTTAAAGCTACTTTTAACAACATTCCAGCAATATCATTTTTCCAATTCAAGAAATCAAACCAACTTGGCATGATGAGTGAACACATTAGCCTCTTGGCTACCTCACCACCTCTTAACTTACATGGATCAGCATCCACCGGGTCGGGCATCCAGCTCTGCCAGTCGTCACTCTCGTCATCACTCTGCACCCCCTCGTCCAGCAGCAGTGGCTGGGACTTGACCAGCTCGTCCAGCAGCTCATTGCTCCCCTCGTCTGTCAAGCTGCTCACAATGCATCGCACTGTGTCATCCCTGGATCTGGAGACATGAGGACAAAACTAATACTCTCCACAAAAATCACAGAGGATTTGATAAATGAGGATTTATTATTATTAATTAATTACAAGGACTTCCTATATACTTTAGAGAGCATCTGGGCTTTCAGAAGAATTTGATGTTGTTTAAACACATCAAACATAGTCTGACATGCCATACCTGGGACCGCCTCCGTGGTGTAGTGGTTAGAGCGTCCGCCCGGAGAGCGGAAGGTTTCGGGTTCGATCCCGACCGCGTCATACCAAAAGACGTTAAAATATGGTACTTGTTGGTCCCTGCCTGGCGCTCGGCATTTAATGGGTACAACAAGGACTGGTCGGCTCGGAGTCAGTATAATGTGTCTGAGTGGGGTATTCATGCTTCACTGCGGCATGGTATCTCAGTGGGCTAGCACTATAAAACCAGCTTAAGTCTGAGCTAGTACAAGCAGCCGCACATACACATACACACGCATGCACGTCGTCATATGAGCGAAATATTCTCAAGCACGACGTTAAACCCAATTTCACCTCACCTCACCACCATACCTGAGATACTTGCGTACAGGTTCACATACAAGTTCCAAGATGACCCCGGCAGGGTCAAGGACTCGCAGAGACCGGATGGCAGCAATGTACGCTGTCAGAATATCAGCTGTGTTCACACCTGAAAATAACAAGTTCTTCATCATACTGTCCGTAAAGACATACTTACTGCTGGGTGGGTGGATAAAAGGATGGTTGAAAGGCAGATTGGTGGATAGGTGGGTGGTTGATTGGGAGATCAGTGGACAGGTGGGTGGTTGTTTGGCATAAGGGTGGATAGGTGGGTGGTTGTTTGGCATAAGGGTGGATAGGTGGGTGGTTGTTTGGCATAAGGGTGGATAGGTGGGTGGTTGTTTGGCATAAGGGTGGATAGGTGGATGATTGATGGACAGATGGGTGGATGGTTGATTGGCGGATGGGCTGGTGGTTGGGTTCTCCTTTGAACATTGTTTGCTGAGCCAATCAGATACCAAAGAATTCCTTGCAATTTATCTAATTTTTAAACTTATCCTATGTCATGTTATGCACTTTCACTTGATCCTTGTGATGAGTTCAAGTTCATGGTGATGCTGCAATGTGTCCCTCTCACCTGGGTGCAACAGTCTGTTCTCGAGTGCCCCTCTCAAGGACGACACCAGGTGGGAGCGGAAGTCAGTTTTGTCCAGACAAACTTTCAGGTCCATGATTGCCGGCTCGGACTCAGGAAACTCAATAATGATATTAAACAGCTGATCTATCAGTGCCTTGGCATATGTCTCGTACAGGAAGTGGAGTAGTCTCCCCTTGAAGGCTGATATACATTCAGGTCCAGAACTCGTCCGATTGCCTGCGTAGATGATGTTTAGCCATCCAAGCACCTTGCTGTCAAGCCACTGGGAGAAAACAGGTTTGGTCATTGAATAACAAGACTGCATGGTATTACTGGTATGCTAGTATTCCGCAAAACACTTTTCAAACAAAACTTATTGCAATACTGTTTTCTGCTCTTGCATGTTGAGAAAAAGGAATATAACAAATTGTTTTATTATTTGTATCGTTTAACCTAAAATCTACACAGAAATGTGCACATGCAGGAGAGATTTTATTCCCATACTGTTATCTACCCTGTATCCATGAAAACAAAATATCAGTGACTATACACACTGAAATAAGTATTACTAAGCAAGGTGAGGTGAGGTGAAATTGGGTTTATCGTGGGTAGCGAGAATATTTCACTCATATGACGCACGCATGCGTAGGTGTATGTGTATGTGTAGCTGCTTGTACTAAAGTACTGTCGGAAATGCTAGAAAATGCTTTTCAGCCTTAATTTCTTTATAAAGGTGATAAATGTACTATGTTGTCAATATAATAACTCGCCTATAGTGTACCTAATTTTTTATTTCAATTGATTTAACATTCCCATGCATTTAAAGGGCAGTTTACAGGAGAGAATATGGTACCAAAACAACAACTTAAGATTTTTTCAGTTCAACAACAGAAATCTGAAATAGTCTTTACATTTATGTTAATAATACAGGTGCGGTGTAAAAAATATGAATCAAGCGCTTTTTCTTTAACAAATAAATGTTGAATGTTTGTGTTACTTTACTTAATTATCGTTTCTTTATTGAAGAAATATTTATATAAATGGTAAGTCTTGATAAATAAGTTTCCGTCATGCATGCACATCTTTATCACACAGCGTCCACTATGGCCAACTATTTGAAGTCAATTGTTGCAAAGGTTTATAAGTTTTTTTGTGCTTAGAAAGACAGAGGTAAACCTTTCATTAGTTTAGAAAGGGTTTATTACAGAACTTGTAGAGCTGTCTGTATGTCTTACCAACAAGTTTACAATATTGTAAACAAATCAGACAAGACAGGGGCCGCCTTCAAAAGCACAACGGGACGTAAAACATCCTTTGACAACTTTGAAAAGGGAGTACTTAGGCAGGCGGTCTACAAACTTTATGAGAAGAAGAATATATACATTCTAAAGAAGCTACACCAGTGACTTCCGTTAAATCTTTGGCCAATGTTCACAACTAGATTAAACTGACCAAATTACATCCATATTGTTGCAATGAAATATACTGTTGACATGCAAAACATTTATTAAAGCGTTGCACATTTCTACAATCAATCGATAAGATAACACAAGTGATAGGATTCTTTCCAATGTACAGTAATTCAGAGTATGTTTATTTGAAACAAACACACATACACTCATACATAAATGATCCCATACATAACCAATGCATTATACTATACGCACACATATTCAACATTTTGAAGAAAACATCTATTGAGATGACCCTTCCCCCGAGCGTGTGCTAAGGTGTCAATTTCACCTGTCGATACGTGCATGCTGATAGCGTAACACAGGCAGTTAATGTTTGTATCAAATAACGTCCCACTACCCGTTTTTTGGTATTTTCATCATTCAAAACACATTTTAGGGCATGTCTCAAAATTTATTCCCTCGGTCTACAGTAGGTAGATGTTTCTTAAAGTGATATTTGTTATTTAAGTAATTGTAATACCTCTGAATTACAAATATAAGTCTAAAAGCACTTTTCTAGCATTTCGACAGTACTTTAGCCCAGACTCAAGCTGGTTTTATAGTGCTAGCCACTGAGATATCATGCCGCGAGTGAAGCATGAATACCCCACTCAGACACATTATACTGACTCGAAGCCGACCAGTCCTTGTTGTACCCATTAATGCTGAGCCAAGCGTGGACCAACAAGTACCATATTTTACGCGCTCTTTTGGTATGGCGGTCGGGGATCGAACCCACAACCTTCCGCTCTCCGGGGACGCTCTAACCACTACACCATTGAGGCGGTTTACTAAGCAAGGTCAATCAATCATTGTCAACAATGGTGATGGAATATCACAGATATCAGCCAAATGATATCTCCTGCTTTGTATCACAAACAGCAACAGAAGCTCCTAATGTGTTTATCCTATCTCACCTTCTGCAGCGTGTCCAAGTATGATGTCTCATAGTTGCCCTTACATGTGTCCTCGATGTGGTGCTTGATCTGCTCATGTACAGTGGTGGTGACAGCTGCCCCAGATATCCGCTCCAGGATACCCATGTCGTCACTGTATATACACACCATCAATCCCATGTAAATTGTAATGACAGTTTTATAGTGCTAGCCCAAGGAGATTACCACCAGTTTACTGTGGATACCCTACTCTGACAAAGATATAATCATGATAATGATATGTCAGTGAACTCACGAATGTCTGGATTTAAGTCACAATGAATGTCTCAACATACTGAAGAGGCATATGTTCTGTTCTTGCATCTGCACGTTGACATGAAAGTGGATTCCAGTGAGGTATCCAATCCCAACTTGGTGGGTAGGTAAGAAGCAAGTGAGGTGATGGGGACCTCAAATCTTCCTTGAGTTACTATTGTATTGACGTAGTTAACATTCTAGAAACTTCTCGAATGATGAAACTTGCTACAGATTCTTACAAAAAAGGGAGGTAACTCTTAATCACACGTTTCGTGCAGATTGGCAACTTCAGCATCCAATATTTTACGAGGATTTCAGTCTTTTGCTGCCATTGTAAATCACTTTTAATGAACCCATAAGTGTCGCTACTACAAAATATATCTATCACATAACATACTGTCTATAATCTGATAATAATTAATATAAAACACTCAGTCTACAACATTACACTCTATGGATATCATAATACTGGGTCTACTACAAAATATATCTATCACAAAACATACTGTCTATAATCTGATAATAATTAATATAAAACACTCAGTCTACAACATTACACTCTATGGATATCATAATACTGGGTCTACTACAAAATATATCTATCACATAACATACTGTCTATAATCTGATTATAATTAATATAAAACACTCAGTCTACATTACACTCTATGGATATCATAATACTGTGTATCACATATATCTCTGTCTATCAGTGAGCTTAATTTTATGCCGGACTCAGCAATATTCCAGCTATACGGTGGTTCTGTCTAACACATAACACTCTGTCTATCACCATGATTCACTTACAGTTTACTGTTGACTGCATGAAATTTCTCCATGATATCCTGACATCGACAGCTGTCTGACTCTTCACCACATCCATTACAAGACCCAAGATCTTCATCTTCTCCTTCTTGCAACAGGAAATGTAACATCAACAAACTAATATCAGCAACTCTATTGAAAAATATAATCTACACCTTTATCTTACAACTATCCATGAATTTACCATGACTTATATACATATGGACAGTAATAAACCCACTGGTGTTTGAATAACTGGAATCTGTAGCAAATCAAAACATCTATTTCCAAATTTTCTTTAACTCAAAACAAATTCTACACTGATATCATTCCATAAAATGTCAAACAGAAACATATACTGGGATTATATAAGACAAAGAAGGGAATATAAAACATAATATGCAAATTAGTTTTATTTATGGTTGTCATTGTAACAAACATTTCACTGGAAATAATATGCTCCCTGAATCAAGTGACTTGCCATTCGATGTGTCATTAATATCACCAGCAACACTGTATTCTCTGTACCATGTAATCACTCTTGGTGTCTAATTGGCAATGCGCCCGGGACTGCCTGACAATCATCATACGCTATACATGCTATAAATCAGGGGTGGAAATAACCCATTGCCCGACGTCCGAGTCCAGTGTTTTTTTCTGTCGGGCAAGCAACTTTGTATATCACACTGTACCGGTGTCCAGTTGACTTTCCAATGTTTATTATGTTGTTTATTTAAAAAATCAGCAAAAAAACAGTTGGTATAGTGGGAAAATAATCAGGGCAAGTGACTTTACATGTGCCACTGTACCGGAGTACACTAGCAATTTTAAACTTATTTCCATCCCTGTAAATATGCAACATGACAAACATATGGCTACAGGTGAGTGAGCTTAGTTTTATGCCGCTTTTAGCAATACTCCAGCAATATCACAGCTGGGAACTATGGCTACAGGAAATTACAATAAATTCTCATATAACCAACAAACAGTGAACATTACCTTCATCATCTGCACTTGTGTGATGAAAGACTTTAAATGCCTCAGAATAAAACTTTTCTACAGCTGTCAAAAAGTTTTTGGGAACAGTAAAAAAAAGATGACAGCTTTATAGAAGGTGACTACTAGGGCCGATATTCTCTGTGGGGATTCATCATCGGACTCCATCTTGTCCCTCCGCATCACCTCCAGACGCTGCAGACTTGCAGAGTATGACGATGTGACGCCATGGAGATACGTCACAGCTTTGTACAGCTGGCCACATGGATTACAGCTGTCTGTTTCTGCAGGTATAAAGTGTCTCCAGAACTCTGGCCCTACTCTGTGTCGGAGATCCTGTTGTAATGTTTCCAGGAACCACTCTTCTATGATGTGGTCCACACCCTCTTGCTTCATCACTGCTAGGGCATTCTGGAAGTCTGACTCCGGACTGGGGCGATGGGATTCTACAGGTGTCTGAAAAATATATCCAACTCAACATATTGTTGCTATAAATATGTAGTGCAGTTAGAATTCTTCCTCACTGACTTCATCTGCCATTTATTTATCATTTACTAATATGCTTATTTAGTATGGACTGACCCTAATGACAGACTGACAATCGAGCACTATCAATATCTAGTCGAAGTAGGTGTTATTTACAGCAAATAAGTCTTTGACGGTGTCAAATTTAGAGGTGGTCTAAGTGAGGCAAACGTATAATAACATCCCATATATTGTTGACATACATTTTCGTTTGTTGGCGTCAGGACTGCAGATATAACACCCCATGCCTTGTTCAAAACGTCTACATTTGCCGCCATGTTGGATACCTCTTGCACGGTAAAGTAAAAAGTTAACTTCGTGTGTGATACGCGTAGTTATTAGTTAATCAAACACATATAGTAGTAAATACAATATCCGTGGCACCCTCTCTATTATAAAAAGAGGAAATAAAAAAATTGAATGTACAAATTAGACTTGGTCAAATGTTGACATCGATTAAGGAAATCGTATTTCGGAGACAAATATTCTTTTGGCATTTCCCAATGTTATTTCCACCGCCGGAATTCAGCGTGGGAGGTACGAATCGCACAGTTTGGACAGTGAAGGAAGATGGTACGTACCAAAATATACACCTCTAAAATAGGGGCCGGTATATATCTGTTCTCACATAACGTGTCAATCGATCAGGGCACGCTACATGCATTTAACGCAGTAAGAAATTAAGTCATCTGGTGTTAGCGGCCCTCATATGAAAAGATTTAAGAAATCCCAACATGGAAAGATTAAATAAATTTCTGTTTCTATGTGTTTATTAGTGAGGTTAGAATGCACTTTACCGGGCGCAGCCCTCGCTGCTCCCTTTACGATCCTTAGGGTTAGGGTATGGCACCCTTTACGATCCTTAGGGTTAGGGTTTAGGGGAGGGTTAGGCACCCTTTACTATCCTTAGGGCTAGGGGTTAGGGTTAGGGAACCCCACCAGCGCTAATTAATCTGAAAAAGTGCGCCCGGTAAAGTGCAGTACTCCCGGATAATTTGTCAAACATCAATGAAATTGTATATTGTTTCATATTTTCAGTCTGTCACCCTACACACAGACCTGGGAGACATGAAGCTCGAGCTGTTTGTTGAACAGTGCCCAAAGACTTGTGAAGTAGGTAGACCTATGCGGGAAGAGTTCCTTCCGTTCGCCCATATGATTCAGATTGCCCACTTCTTTCTTCCGCAGATTAACAGAGGTAACACAACATGGTTTGACCCTATACAGTCAAATCCCGATGAGTCGAATTTCTGGGGACCAAGTAATAAATTCGACTTATCGATGCATTCGAGACATAGGTATGTCTATGCGGGTAGAAAAAAAGATGATCCAGTCCTAATTCCTCCGCCGAAGCATTTGTTTATCTAATGATTTCCCTATCACTAATAGGGGCACCTTATCAGTTCCAGTCTGATTAGCACACACAGTGATTTCCGTAAAATCACTAATCAGCCTTTTGAACTCACGCGTCAAAGGCGGAAAGGTGTGAGTGGCGCTGGTTTGTTAATTGAATCAGTTTGCTACACCAATCAACTTCTCATTGACTGACTTCGGCTTATGTATACAAGATTGCTGTTGTTTGAATCTCATGGGACCAAATTTTCTTCTCGAGTCATTGTGTGTATTTATGAGTCGATTTCGCGTAACCGGTATTCAAATGATGACAACTATAACAGGGAATGGTCGGGACCGACAGGTACTTCGAGTTATGCATAATATTCGAGACACCGGCATTCGACTCATTGCGATTTGACTGTAGTATATTGTAATTAAGTTTGGGGCTTTTAGTTATTTTTGTGAGTTCTCTACTAATTGTTGTGTAGGTTTTGTTAATAATTTAGTATATATTCATTTATAAATATTATTTAGGATGGGGGAACGGGAGGAACTCTTACCACCTATTGGAATATCTCAATACCCATTGGGATACTTAAGGTTAATTGTGAGTTTGTATGGTCCAATGTCTTCATTTACAAACTTAGAGGTCTTATTTTGTAATGGATTGCAGCTATATTTCTCATTACATAACTAATGATATAGAATAATGCCCATGATTTGAGTTTTCAACTTTCAGAACTTCCTCGCCCTGTGTGCCAGCAACTATTATGATGGCTGTATATTCCACAGAAACATCAAGGGATTTATGTTGCAGACTGGGGATCCCACAGGTATTACATCCTCCGTGTTAATAAGTTGGATCACTGGGACAAGTGTAAATGTGCATCACAGTACTCCTACATAGGGCTTGGTTATAGATGTAGACCATAGAGATTAATAATTCTTACAAAATATCAATATATTATTGATAAATATTCGAGACATAATTTCAAGCAAAACTGAAAAAAGTTCCAAAACAAATCAATATATTTGACATCAGTGATGTCAAATATATTGATTTATATTGGAACTTTTTTCAGGTGATCACTAGTGAACAGTGTCACATTTCTACACAGATTATGAGAAAGAACCACCTTCTGAACACATGTTTATATCAATAGTATTTAACATGTTTACGATACACAATTAGCATATCGTCAGTGATCTTAATAATTCCTCCCGCTGACAGTATATTTTTTAGCCATTGTTACTCCAGTGTCCTATGAAGTGAGAGTTCTATTCACTGATCTGGTGGTCATTACCTGTACACATGGTACCGTGATCTCAGGACAATTCCATTATTCAATAAATCCATTAGGTCAATAAAATTCACAAGAATCCTCTCATTCATTTACCATGCTCACCTTCATGCATAGTTCTTCTGAGGCAGAAGACGCCTGCAGCAAATGTCATTTAAAAATCAGAAATGGAAGCTATAAATTTTCTACCTCCCTATTATATCTAATAACCCATTTTATGGCTTTTGAGAGGTAACCTGTATTTCTCAATACAATGTTAAAATACCTATGAATTTTGAAAGTATTTTAATGTCCCTATTTTGAATATAAATTGAATTTTTCCCAACTTGTCTGCCCAGGTTTGAATCAAAGATGAATCCCTGAACAATGTGGTATGACTCTGATTCCTCTATTGAACAGGAACTGGAAAGGGAGGTACTAGCATATGGGGGCAACACTTTGAAGATGAACTCAGAGATGCTTTAAAGGTAAGAACACTTATCAATCTGAATTCAAAATGAGACTGAACATATTACCATGATATTCAAGTCATGGGTGTCATAAAATCAATATTTTTCCTTATCCTGACTCATGCTCTTTTGCTTGTCTTCTTCTTCTTGCGAACATAGTGGAACACTTGTATCTCCTTATTTGAAGCTCCCTTCAAAATAAAATCACTAATTGGTACTCACCACGAGTTGCTCCCCTTTGTCTCCCCTGGGCGGAAAGGTGTCGCCACCCTCTGGCCATGTGCTTCCACTCTCCTTCTTAGCCCAGTGAGCAGGATGTGAGAGAGGCCTTGTGTCTCCTTACACACATATCCTTTGATAATCTCTTAGTTTTTACCTCTCATAGGTTACTATAGAGGTATAGCTAGTATCCTTTACTATTTGTATTGATTAATTATCATTATTTCTACTGTTTATTCCACGTGTATTCGTGATTGTTCAGCTAGCTTTACGTTGATGAAAATCTGTGCGATTTGTAGATTACGTTTTCTGCCTCCGATCCACATGTAATATGCCCTAGTTGTTCTCGCGCGTGTCTGCGTTTAATTCCACGTTGCAGTTACTGCATTAATTTATCTCATTCTGCATTTAATAAATATCATCTTTTGCGTCTTAAGGCGTGCTGCAGATAGATCACGCAAACAAGGGCAAAACATGGCAGAGAGTCCAGATATTCCATCCAGTCAGCTGCTAGCGATCGACCCTCTCCCGTCTGGTGTTCTGCTAGAGATCCCCTCGCGAGGAGGACGTGGGACGCAGTCCGTTACCTCGAAGAAAGCGACCGGCCTCCCCAGACATCCCGTCATTGCAGACTAAGTCTAAGAGGGCCTCATCGTCGATCTCAAGCGCAGATTGAGGGACACCCAGGGCAGCGCCAGACTTCCAAAGGGAAATCTCACGAAGACAGCAAGAACTTTCTCAGCCGAGATCGTTCCAGCAGCAGAGTTGGGCCTCTACGATGATCAGCCGATAATCATCCCCGACTTTACGGCAGAAGAAGCTGACGACGGTGTCAGCGACTGCTGTGACTTCTGCAGAGATCTCCATGCAGCCTGATGCCTCTACACCGGCGTCAGGCGTCATTGATGTGAACCCATACGCGAAAGGCGGCGGCGAGGCTTCATCAGATCATCCCAGAAGACATGATCGCGGCAGATTATGAACATCATGGAGGACCACTACAAACTGCGCAGAAGCGGTCCGAACGCCAGCGAAGGCTCCAGCGTGAACAGCACCCCAGAGGCACCCCCGTCAGCGTAGCAGCCAAAGGCGATGTCACCTTCAAGGAAGGAAGTCCCGCACCACCTTGGCGAAGGACCTAGATGTACAGCCTTGAGAAGGCCTTAGCGGCGGGAGAGATCATCACCATCTTCGATTTCATCTCTAGATATGGACTCAGACCATCAGACATCACGGAAGCCTTGGCGAAGGTCATATCATCGATCCCGGACGGACCGACAAATGAAAGCGAAGGCATTAGCGCGAAGGACATATGATTCAGATCTTCATCGTCTAGAAGAACATCGAGGGGGACTGCGAAGAGCTTGGCGAAGCTATCAACATTCACCTCACAGAGTCTCGAAGATCATCCCATAGGCGATCTCCCTCCGTTCATCACCAGGTCGATCACCCATCAGATCTCCTCCACATAGAAGCGGTAGCACAAAGTCAACTAGATCGCCACAAACCTCATCAGATATACAGACAGCTACCGTCCGGTCGAAGAGCATCTACAATTTATTAATGATGATGGTTTTGGGGATGATGGAGGAATCATATTTTCTGATGCAGAGATACAGTATTGGATGGTCAATAACCTAGATCTCACATCACCATCTAAAAGTGGCAATACAGCTCAGGCGTATTTGATGAAGGAAGATGATCCAGATGCAATCACTCTACCCCGATCGACCCGATTGCGGCAGTGCCACAGAATCTAGATGCAGCTTTCCAGAAAGCTACGAAAGTTCAGATACCACATCTGCCCAACTTTCAAGCCAAGAAGTTCTCCACGCATAACATGGACTCCTTCTACAAGGCCCAGGACATCGATGAGAACTATAAGATCATCAGCGATGTAAAGAACAAGATTTACAAGATGGATGATGCAAGTTGGCTCATATAGAAACCATGGCCGAGGCGTATGTTCTTTGGGTTAAATAGATCTAGGGGCGATCAATGAGACTCTTATTACTAGATTCCGGGATTCCACGGCCGGAAGATGATAGAATGATTTATTCTGCCTTACTTATGCAAAAGAAAAGATCAGCAGTTTTAACGGATCATCTTACATCTGTTTCAGCAGCACTGACCTTAGCTCGTCGTCAAGGCCTCCTGCGCCTCCTGTAATGGGGGAGAACTTTACAGCCCACTTTATACAGCCCGTGGTCGACAACATCCATCTTTGGCGGAGAAATCGACAAAAGTCGCCAAGGAAGTCTCTAAGGATTCCAGGGGAAGTCCTTATGATTAGATCGATGGACACACTAGCCAGCGTCATTCGTCAGACTTCACAAAGATACTCAGGCAGATCTAAGTTCACGGGCCTACAAAGAGCAAAAGAGACAGGAAGATAGCCAGCTCTAGAGGTAAAGATTCTTTTAAAAGTACGCCCATATGGCAACTATAGAGGAGTATCAGGAAGAGGCAGGACACCCAGAGGGTCCCACGCAATTATAGGCAGCTGAAACACAGGTTGGAGCGACTGGAGTCTTCCACCCCAGCCGTTCCAGTACAACCAGCTCAAGTGGGTGGGCGCCTCCAACTACACTGGGAAAACTGGGGAATACTGCAAGACCCTTACGTCTCCAACATTCTTCAACACGGTTTCCATGTATCCCTCTACAGGCCAAGCCTCCGCTGACAATCAAACCCCCAAGTTCGATTTACAAAGCAACAACTACCAAAGATAAAAGAGGCTGTTTCATCACTCCTATCCAAACAGGCCATGGAAGTAATAGATCAAGCTGAGCGTCGAGACCAGGTTTTCTACTCCCCAGTTTTTCCCTGGTTCCAAGAAAACTCCCGCGGAGAAATACAGACTCATCTACAACATGAGCTTTTTCAAGCAAGAACTATCTCACGCAAACCATCGAAGTTTGGCATGATACATTTTACCTCAGTTGCGCCAGATGATGATTAGATCCTATGGACTACATGGGCAGCATAGATCTACAGGATGCCTACTTGCACATCCCCATTCATCCCGATTCCAGGAAATACCCACGATTTACTCTAGAAGGGCTACATTACCAGTGGAAAGTACTCCCCATTGAATATCATCAGCCCCTGGCTATTATTCCGCGAGGATAACGAAACCGATTATCAAATTTCTACATCGTCAAGGGAGCTCGCGAGTGCGTTTTACCTCGACGACGGGATACAAGTAGATCAAGATCCACTCGTCTCAAACTACAGTTAAATTACATCATAAAGCTACTAACACAACTAGGTTGGTTAGTAAACTTACGCAAGTCGGACCCTAGTACCATCGCAAGACCTACACTTCCTAGGTGTTCGATTCATCACAAATCGCAACCGTATTATGGTACCAGAAGACCCGTTGGCTCAAAGATACAACAGACCATTCCACCAGCTCTACTCTCTCCGTTACCACTGCGACAATGGCAGAGCCTACTAGGTCTTCTCACATCAGCCCAAGACATGACTGTCACAGGCAGATTACAGATTCACGTCCCCTACAGGTCCTCATCAGCGCACATCTCAACGATGTACAACCATTCAGTCTACGAAACATCTCAGACCACATCTACTATGGTGGACCAAGAAATCGAATGTCTGCGAAAGGATTTGTTTAGCAGAGCAGGAATACAAAACCCATCTGTATGTAGGCCAGCGTCACTCCAAGGTTGGGAGCTCATCTCACCAACCACCACGATATCAGGGTTATGGAATCAGCAAGAAGGCAAACTCCATATAAAACAGTCTAGAAATGAAAGCTGTAATCAGCATGCATTCTACATTTGGAGCACATTTCTACAAAATGCTTGCGCCCTAATGATCCATACAGACAATTGACAGTGGCGTTCTACATAAACAAACAAGCAAGGCTCAGCGAGATCGATGAACCTTTTGAACCTAAGCTTTCAACTGTTCGATTTAATACAAGATCTAAATCTACATGTCAGAGCAGTGCACATTCCGGAGCCAGAAATACTAGCAGGCAGGCCTCTCTCTCGGCCTCATCTACCATCACCCGACAGAGTGGATGATCAACAGGGAAATTTTGCACAGATAATCAAGCAATTAGGGCTGCCGCTAATGGAGACCACCTAAGCGCACGCGATTCAACAATCAGCTACCGACATTACGTGTCACCAGTCCCAGACCCCCAAGCTTGGGCAGCGCGGGCTCTAAGTCTATCATGGGAAGGCCTCAATGCGTCGCAGCGTTTCGCCCGCCAGCAATAATACCTCAAGTATTACAGAAAATCAGACAAACACAGAGCCTACAACTCACTTTGGTGCGCCCTACTGGCGGCCAGAGCGTGGTTTCCCATACTAATTCAAGAAATCGGTCAACCAACACTGGAGGCTACCCAAGCGCCAAACCTGTTAATTCATCCTCACACCAAACAAGTGCGGAAACCCAGCAATGTTCCAACTACACGTATGGACTGTATACAAATGTGTTTAAACAAGAGGATATTCTGCCAGGGCGGCAAAAGCAGTCGCGCTTGCCCTCACGTTACTCAACTTCGTAACTTGTGCGGCGACCAAGTGGCACAGTTTCAAAAATTATGCAACAAAGAAAGGGTTTACAGCAAGAGAGGCTTCACAACCTCAAGTGGCAGACTATTTGTGTTACCTACGCCAAAACAAACATTTAAAAGGTTCAACGATATCAACATATCTTGCGGCAGCTTAGCTCTGTAATCACCATGAGAGAGCGGGTGTCAAATTGACAAGATCTCCAGAGTTACTGGCCTTACTACGAGCTTTCGATTGGAGGACCAAAAGCGGAAGTTCCACGCCCCAGCTTGGGATCTGAATGTAGTGTTACAACACCTCACGAGTGAGGTCTATGAACCTTTGAAATCGACAAACTTTGAATTTCTCTCACAGAAAACATTGTTTCTGCTATAAGCTAGCCACAGCAGCAAGAATGTCTGAAATTCACGCTCTGGATTACGAGAGGATACAGTTTGATGACAATCATAACTTTTAGCGCACCTCGGATTAAGATGGGATTTCATCGCAAAAAATCAACTGCCAGGTCAACCAGACAGATTATTCCACATCCCGGCGCTATCCTCTATTCTCGGATCACAAGATACACAAGACCTATCACTGTGTCCCGTAAGAGGCTCAAAGTTTATTCTCTAGCGATCAAAACAAGGAGAAGATTTCTCAAGCGTTTATTCATCCCATTAAGCCTACAAATCAAACAGAAGTGTCACGGACCACAATATCTATTTGGATAAGGACTGTCATTCTCCGTGCCTACAAGGCAGCAGGCTTGGACCCACCAACAGCATCAAATCCACATGAGATCAGGGCACTGGCCTCTACCCTCGCCCTACGGTAACTGTTCCTTGAACACGATTATGGAAGGATGCTATTGGAAATCTAACATGGTATTTGCTAATCACTACCTAAGAGACATCACTACAGAAGATGTCTCTGGCATTCACCATTTCTGGACCACTGGTCCTCGGCTCAGCAACTGACAGTCCCTCCGTAGGGCGTTAAAATATTATCCTCACAAGATTAATATGTATTTTATACATACTCATCTAGCTTATAACTCTCACGGAGTTTTAGGGCTATGTATATATGTTCAGCAAGTATTCAACCTTAAGCATATACTTGGATATAGTCATTTTCAGTGCCTCTATCAGAGTCACCTATATATATATATATATAATTTATATGTATTGTTCAATATATTCATAATGTAATTTCCCTTTAATGGCTTTATATAACCTATGGTTTCTTTATACAGGAAACATCCTAAATCTAAGCCTTCATGAAGTTCCGTGAGGGATATTACAGTATATCTATACAAAATCACTAATTATAAATCCAAAGTATTCTGTTACCCACCTCCGTTCATTAGGATGCTACAAGCAAAGAGCATGAGTCAGGATAAGGGGAAAATATGTAATTTTTAGAGTAAAATTGATATTTTATACTTATCCTGACTCATGAAGTTAGTCTCCCTCCATCCTCCCCATAACACTTTGGATTTCCCTGTAAATTCAAGTGTTGGGCTCGCTAAATCAGGAGAGAGTGGAGCACATGGCCAGAGAGGGTGGCGACACCTTTCCCGCCAGGGGAGACAAAGGGAGCAACTTGGTGGTGAGTACCAATTAGTGATTTTATTTTGAAGGGAGCTTCAAATAAGGAGATACAAGTGTTCCACTATGTTAGCAAGAAGAAGAAGACAAGCAAAAGAGCATGAGTCAGGATAAGTATAAAATATCAATTTTACTCTAAAAATTACATTTTGTTCATGCTGATTTTAAGGTAAATAACACTGGTTGTACATAACCCACAAATTAGATGGCATAAATATCTACCATTTTATTTTTATTACACCACTCATGGTTTTATCTAAACTTCGCTGACAGGGGATATAGTATTAGGCTCAAATCCGTCCGTCTGAATTTAGAATATCTTAGAACCCTTGACTAGATTCTTTTCATTATTTGGTACCTAGGTTCATCACAGTATAAGAAAGGTCCCAGTAAGGTTTGGTGACCTTGACCTTAATTTCAACGTCACAAGAGGACTTTATCGCAAAAAACACTCACTGGATTTTTTTCATATTTGACGCTAATTTTGGTGACCTTCACATAATGTTCAAGGTCACTGCAACACTTTGAAGATTTCACCATGTTAACCTGAATTCACTGGATTTTCTTCATAGACTTTCAAGACTTGCCTTGAATATTTTTCAATAAGCAATTTCTTTAGTACCATTTTTGAATATTTCATACACTAAGACATTCGTGTCAAGGTCAAAGTCAGTCTTGAAAATATTTGTGTGTTTGAACAACTAAAGAGCAACATATCAAGAGAGGTTGACTGGTCATGTTTTTGTTGACATTTAACTTCATCTTAAACTTTCATTACTTTTTAAGTTTGATTTGATAATTTGCGGCAGGGGATTATGTCACCTTAGTGACAATGCTTGTTAATTTAAAAACGTATCCAACTCAGTTTTATACTTTTTCAAATATACATGGAGTAAGAAAGGTTTGTAACAGGGCCTTGCAACCCATGAAGATCCAGGTTTGAATTGGTCTTCAGCAACCCATGCTTGTAAGAGGCAGCTAATGGGATTGAGTGGTCAGGCTTGCTGATTTGGTTGACACATGTCATCGTATCCCAAGTAACAGCTGGAATGTTGCTGAGTGCGGCATTAAACAACAAACAAAACAGGTTCTTGGAGGGTACTTTGTATAAACTAATAGATCTGTGAGGCATAACCCATTTTATGGCTTTGAGAGGTAACCTGCATTTCTCAATACAATGTTAAATACCTATGAATTTTGAAAGCATTGTAATGTCCCTATTTTGAATATAAATTGAATTTTTCCCAACTTGTCTCGCCCAGGTTTGAATCAAAGATGAATCCCTGAACAATGTGGTATGACTCTGATTCCTCTATTGAACAGGAACTGGAAAGGGAGGTACTAGCATATGGGGGCAACACTTTGAAGATGAACTCAGAGATGCTTTAAAGGTAAGAACACTTATCAATCTGAATTCAAAATGAGGACTGAACATATTAAAAATTACATTTTGTTCATGCTGATTTTTAAGGTAAATAACACTGGTTGTACATAACCCACAAATTAGATGGCATAAATATCTACCATTTATTTTTATTACACCACTCATGGTTTTATCTAAACTCGCGGCAGGGGATATAGTATTAGGCTCCGTCCGTCCGTACGAATTAGAATATCTTAGAACCCTTGACTAGATTCTTTTCATATTTGGTACCTAGGTTCATCACAGTATAAGAAAGGTCCCAGTAAGGTTTGGTGACCTTGACCTTAATTTCAACGTCACAAGAGGACTTTATCGCAAAAAACACTCACTGGATTTTTTTCATATTTGACGCCAATTTTGGTGACCTTCACATAATGTTCAAGGTCACTGCAACACTTTGAAGATTTCACCATGTTAACCTGAATTCACTGGATTTTCTTCATAGACTTTCAAGACTTGCCTTGAATATTTTTCAATAAGCAATTTCTTTAGTACCATTTTTGAATATTTCATACACTAAGACATTAAGGTGTCAAGGTCAAAGTCAGTCTTGAAAATATTTGTGTGTTTGAACAACTAAAGAGCAACATATCAAGAGAGGTTGACTGGTCATGTTTTTGTTGACATTTAACTTCATCTTAAACTTTCATTACTTTTAAGTTTGATTTGATAATTTCTTGTGGGGATTATGTCACCTTAGTGACAATGCTTGTTAATTAAAAGCGTATCCAACTCAGTTTTATACTTTTTCAAATATACATGGAGTAAGAAAGGTTTGTAACAGGGCCTTGCAACCCATGAAGATCCAGGTTTGAATTGGTCTTCAGCAACCCATGCTTGTAAGAGGCAGCTAATGGGATTGAGTGGTCAGGCTTGCTGATTTGGTTGACACATGTCATCGTATCCCAAGTAACAGCTGGAATGTTGCTGAGTGCGGCATTAAACAACAAACAAAACAGGTTCTTGGAGGGTACTTTGTATAAACTAATAGATCTGTGTAGGCTTGATTGTTTCTTTTATGAAATAGAAAATATATAAGAAAATGAAAAAACATTAATCATTTTTGTATTTTCATTTTGCAGCATAACACAAGAGGCATTCTGTCATCAGCAAACAATGGTCCTGATACAAATGGATCACAATTTTTCTTAACATACTCAAAACAACCTCATTTGGATATGAAATACACTGTCTTTGGAAGGTGAGTAGAATATCCCTGTTCGGGAGAGTTCACTCAAACGCATCTCGTTCAGTTAGTGTTTATGGAATTTAAAAACAATCATGGAAACGCATAGACACTGACTGCACGAGATTTGCCTGCGAGTGAACTAGACACGCTTCCAGATTTCATGTTAGAATTTGAATTCAATTTCGGTTTTCAACTTCGCTGACACAAGACGTACATTTAGAGTTAGGTTGGAAAGTCAGTCAGTTGTTAGATATTCATAAATTAGATTAGACAATCAGTGGGGTTTAGTTAGTAAAGGAAGTTAGAGGCTAGATTAGTTTAGTATTAGTCGGGTTTTGAACATTAATAGAGTTAGAATTTATACTAGGGGTTAGTGAAATTAGATAAATTCTAAGCAATTCTTCAACGCAAGAGTTTACACATTCAGTTAGTTCTTCACACATTCGTTTTTTACCCATAAGTGTTATCATATTTAGTTCTTCAGTTCCTCATTAGAAATAATTGTTATCACGTTTAGTTCCTCAGTTTTACATTGTAGACAATAAGTGTTATCACGTTTAGTTCATTAGATTAAATTAGCAAATTTACGTTTCCACAAAAAGCGTCAGAACAAAAATGGTAGCAGAGCGTGGTTAGAATTAGTTCAATTCAGTTTAGTTTGGTATTAGTCTGTGGGTGTGTTGACAGATTGGTACTTAGTATTTTGATTGTGAAGTTGTTATTTTGTATTGTATTTGCTGATTGGTGGTAAGCGTTAACACATCTTGAGTGGGTTCAATATGTCGTTACCATAAAGTAAACAGGAAGAAGCATCACCCATGAATCCTACAGGTAGTGAGTTGAAACTTTTGAAATTAAAAAGCAAAAAGCAGCTGCCAAAGCGTCTCTTACAAAAGTAAAATAAATTGCTGAGGCTAATAGAAGAAGAGCTGCCCTCTCGACATGCAGTGAGGGACATGATAAATCAGGTAAGTGTTCTACAGAGTAAAGCTATTAATGTCATCTGTGAAGTGTCAATAGCTTATAGTGAGTCTGGTGAGGTTGATCTGTTCAAGAAAACAAAACAAAAATTAGAAGCAGTTGAATGCTGAAACTGACGCTGCTATTGAGCAGGCTAATTTGTTTTAAAACATACACTAGAGACAAGTTCTGTCAGATCTGTCATGAGTGGCATTTCAAGGTTGTTTAGATTCGGAGGGCAATGCACATTCACAGTCACAGCATGTTAGTCACAATTCCAGTCCACAGAAACAAGAAAATGAAGTGGAAGTGGGTTCCAATAAAATGGACAGAGTGATGAACAGATGAAACCGGTAGATAGTTCGAATAGGGACAATGCCAGACATAATCATGAACACACTGCAGAATATCGAGAGTCAGCAAACTCTATATGCTTCCTGACAGACCACATGTTAGAACAACGCGGCCAACTATTGGTGACGATTTATGGAGACAACTTAAGCGAGTGTCTATTCCTATTTTCTCAGGCAAAGTAGTAGAATATGAAGGGTGGAAAGCAGCCTTCATGGCCTGTGTCGATAGAAGCCTGCCAGCAATGAATATAAGCTGCTTCAATTGAAACAATACCTATCTGGAGAAGCAGCTCAGCTTATTGCAAAACTAGGGCATAAGCTGCTGTTTATGACATTGCCTTAGAACGACTTGAAAGAAAATATGGGGGCAAAGAAGACAGATTGCCTTAAAGTTAGAGGAAATATCTAACTTCAAACCATTGAGTCCTGGAAATGCAAAGGATTTAGACAAATTTGCTGACCTGTTGGACATTGCAGTAGTTAGTTTTCGAGAGGCTGACAAAGTAGAGGAATTAGGAGATGGATGTCTCTATGCTCTGTTGTTAACAAAGTTAACAGAAAGCATGATTACTCGTTACAAAAGGTGGATTTATGAACAACAGCGACAGGAGTCAGTTGAAACTCTACGAGAATGGACATTGTTAGAGTCCAATTTTCAGACAATAGCAGTTGAAGCAAAGCAGGGCTTTTCAGGAAAATCAACAGTTGGTAAATCCAAACCAGGCACTTTCTTTGGCAATAAAATCAGGATAAGACATCGAAATGTATTGTGTGTGAGGCTACAAATCACAGGATTTGGCAATGTAAACAGTTCAAGGAATTAGACTTAGGAAGTCGATGGGATAAAGCCAGAGAATTGAGTCTCTGCTTTTCGATGCCTAGGTACAAATCATCGTGGAAGGTTTTGTAGTAGATATGTTGTATGTGGAATTGATGGTTGCAAAGCAGATCACTGTCGATTGCTTCATGGCAAGCAGAGGACAAGTGGTGGTCCACCTGCAGAGTTAACCTTTAGCAAACCATACACGCCTCAAGCTATAGGGTCAGAAGCTGGCACCCAAACAACAATGTCTACGTTAAAAGACACGTCAAATTATTTGGCGTTGAGAACTATTCCTGTAATTTTGAAAAATGGAAACCGTTCTTTGACAGTTAATGCATTATTAGATGATGCTAGCACTCAAACATACATCAGCGAGGATGTTGCTTCAGAGCTTGAGCTAGTGGGTGAATGTTCAACTGTCACAGTAAATGTCCTGAATAATAAGAAGGAATCATTTAGGAGCATGTCGGTTGAATGTGACCTTGAGAGCTTAGATGGGTCTTTCAAGACAAAGGTCAATGCTTTGACTACTCGAAAAGTGACAGGCAATATGAAAGTAGTCGATTGGAGGAAACATGCGCATAGATGGAAACATTTGAGAAATATTCAGTTTCCAAAACATTGTTTTCGTCCAGTTGTTGATATCCTCATAGGAATGGATTGTTTAGATTTGCATTGCTCACAGGGAGATGTGTGTGGTGATCCTGGAGAACCTATTGCCCGATTAACACCTTTAGGTTGGACGTGTGTAGGGAATGTATCAACGAATGAAAACAGGACACATTCATCAGAAACCTTCTTTGTCAGAAATGATACGTCTGGTACAGACAACCTTGATGTGATAGTTCAGCAATTTTGGGAAATGGAAGAAATTCCAAATCCAAAAACTGATATGAGTCACAATGAAAAGATCGCATTTGATATAGTCCAGGATTCACTAGAATATCAGAATGGGAGATACAGAGTTGCAATACCTTGGAAGGACAATACTGATTGTCTAGCAGATAACTATGATATGGCACTTAATCGCTTTGTGAATTTGGAGAAGAAATTGTCAAAAGATAAGGTTGTTTCTGATGCATATGCTGGGGTCATCAATCAGTATGTTGAGAAAGGCTATATTAGAAAAGTAGATCCAGAAGAAACAAGAAACAGTAAATGGATTATGCCTCACTTCCCAGTAGTGAAACTTGATCGGACAACCACAAAGGTCCGTGTAGTTTTTGATGCCTCTGCAAAGTGTAAGGGGATATCTTTGAATGACTGTATTCATCCAGGACCAAAACTACAGAATGACCTATTCGAGATTCTTTTGAGGTTCAGACAGTTTCCTGTTGCTATCATCTGTGACATAGCAGAGATGTATCTCCAGATCGAGATCAATGAAAAGGATCGACCATACTTTAGGTTTCTCTGGAGAGATATGGATCAGGACAAAACACCTGATGTGTAATGAAGTTTTCTAGGGTCGTTTTCGGGATGAACTGTTCCCCATTCCTTGCTCAATACGTTTCACAGAATCATGCGAATTGCAAAGAACAACATTTCCTTTAGCTGCTTGACAGTTTTGAAATCAACATACATGGATGATAATATGGATTCGGTTCAAACAAAAGAAAAAGCAATAGAACTATATGAGCAGTTGAATGCAATGTGGTCATCAGCAGGGATGCATGCAAGGAAATGGGTATCAAATTCAGCAGATGTACTTGACAATATTCCGGTAGAGGACAAGCTGAAAGAGATCCAAATATGCATAAGTGAATTACCTTCAGTGAAAGCTCTTGGACTAACATGGAATGCTGAAAAGGATGTTTTTCAGTTTTCATATCAGATCCAGAACAAGAAGTTAACAATTACCAAGAGAAATTTCTTGAAAGAAATGGCAAAAATATTTGATCCTCTTGGTTTGTTGACACCATTTTGCATAAGAGCTAAGATCATACTACAAGAAATGTGGATATCTGGTGTAGATTGGGACGACAATGTTAGTTCATATTTAACTGAACAGGCATTGCAATGGTGCAGTGAAATTGAAGGTCTTGCATCTCTTCAGATTACTAGATGTATGAATTTTCATCCTGACACCACACAGTTACATGTCTTTGTTGATGCGTCTCAGAGTGCATTTGGTACTGTGATCTATGCAGTTACAAAAATACATGATGGCGCTACATCGAGCCACCTTGTTGCTTCAAAAACTCACGTGGCACCCATAAAGGCTGTTAGCATTCCTAGAATGGAGCTTATGGCTGCTGTTCTTGGCGTGAGGCTTCTTCTAGCCGTCTGTCAAGCAGTTGAAATGGCACAACACAGAGCGATTCTATGGACAGATAGTTCTAATGTGCTATGCTGGATCAGAAGTCAAAGTCGCTGTTTCAAAACATTCATTGCCAATCGGATAGGTTTCATACAAGAACACACAAATCCTTGTCAGTGGAAGTATGTTCCATCATCAGAAAATGCAGCAGACATACTTACACGAGGTACACATGTTCAATCCTTAGGGTCTAAAGAATGGCTGCAGGGTCCTGATTTCCTTGTGTTGGACAATTGGCCAGAGCAATCTGAAAAACTTGACTTTCCCGAAAACCTGGAAAAGAAGAAGTCTCCTTCCAAAGTAGTAACTTCTTTGTTTGCAAACCTTTCCTGCGAAGAGAATTGGATAGTGGAACCATCAAGGTTTTCCAGCTGGAAAGCGATTATGCAGGATTTATGCATACACGTTTATAGATTCTTGAGTAACATCAGATCATCAGGTCTGAACAGGAAACAGGAGTGATAGATTGCGAAGACATTGAAGATGCTGAAATGAAAATTATAGCACAAACACAGAAAGCTTCTTTTCCTACTGAATCACGTAGCTTTGTTGAAAAGCAACATCTTACCTGTTAGTAGCCATATCTTAGCCTTGAATCCATTCATGGATGAACACGGGTTATCCGATCAGCAGGAAGGCTGAAATATGCTGAAGTACTTTCCTATGATGCAAGATGTCCTGTAATACTTCCTAAAGGTGATCATGTTACCAAGCTGATCATCAAGAACTACCATGAGAAGAGTTTACATGGAGGTACGAATGCTACGTTAGCAGCAATCAGTACCAGGTTTTGGATCGTGTCAGCTAGAGAGGAAATTGAAGATGGGAGAGAGAATGCTCTTGGTCGCAGAAGAAAGGCCAAGCCTACACATCAAATCATGGCGAACTACGCCTGTGAGAGTGCAAGCCTCATATCGGGCATTTGAAAAGTAGGGTGGATTATGCAGGTCCATTTATTACTCTTCAGGGTCAGTGGCAAGAGTAGGCAAAAGAGATATCTTTGCCTGTTTACTTGTTTAGCATCCAGAGCAGTACACCTGGAGATTGCCTTTGGGTTAGATTCAGATTCCTTTTGAGAGCATTGTTTTAGTATGGCTGACAGGCGTGGAATGCCCAAACTGATCATATCAGACAATGGCACAAACTTTGTTGGTGCAATCAAAGAACTGAAAGGGTTGATTTGTTGTCTAAAATCAGATGATGTCAAATCACAATTGGCCAACAAAGGTATCACATGGCGGTTCAATCCACCACATGCTTCACATTTTGGTGGAGTTTTTGAAACAATGATAAAAGCTGCCAAAGCGTGCAATTTTAAGCCATTTTGAGTTCCAGCAGTATTACTGATGAGGAACTTATGAGTGCCTTTACTGGTGCTGAAGCCTTCATTAATTCAAGGCCACTCACTTATCAGAGCGCTCATCCTGAAGACATCGTGCCTCTGACTCCCAATCATTTCATCCATGGACAGATGGGAGGGAGTATTCACGGAGTTAGATGCCTTTGATCTCCATCCACGTGAAGCGTTGGAGAAGGGTCCAGGAACTTCTCAGACACACTTGGCAACGATGGATGAAAGAATGGTTACCATCACTGAATGTTCGCAAAAAGTGGTTCACACCAACAAGGGATGTACAAGTCGACGATGTAGTGATGGTGATCTCCTCAGAAAACCCAAGAAGTTCTTGGCCTTTAGGTCGGATTGTCAGGACTCACCCTGGGAAGGATGGTCATGTGAGGGTGGTCGACATTCAGGTTGGTAAGAGCAACATTACAAGACCAGTGACAAAAATCTGTCCCCTTCACTGGGAATAAATCGACGTGGATGACAAAATGTGTATATAACCAGTGTAAATAGTTACCAAAAAGGGTAGTTCAAACATATTTGGTTCATTTTAAATTGTTTGTTTATTTAGGTTGATAGATATGGATCTATCATAAAGGGGGGGTATGTTCGGGAGAGTTCACTCAAACGCATCTCGTTCAGTTAGTGTTTATGGAATTTAAAAACAATCATGGAAACGCATAGACACTGACTGCACGAGATTTGCCTGCGAGTGAACTAGACACGCTTCCAGATTTCATGTTAGAATTTGAATTCAATTTCGGTTTTCAACTTCGCTGACACAAGACGTACATTTAGAGTTAGGTTGGAAAGTCAGTCAGTTGTTAGATATTCATAAATTAGATTAGACAATCAGTGGGGTTTAGTTAGTAAAGGAAGTTAGAGGCTAGATTAGTTTAGTATTAGTCGGGTTTTGAACATTAATAGAGTTAGAATTTATACTAGGGGTTAGTGAAATTAGATAAATTCTAAGCAATTCTTCAACGCAAAAGTTTACACATTCAGTTAGTTCTTCACACATTCGTTTTTTTACCCATAAGTGTTATCATATTTAGTTCTTCAGTTCCTCATTAGAAATAATTGTTATCACGTTTAGTTCCTCAGTTTTACATTGTAGACAATAAGTGTTATCACGTTTAGTTCATTAGATTAAATTAGCAAATTTACGTTTCCACAAAAAGCGTCAGAACAATCCCAGTGCCGCAGTTCCTTTGCAAGACATATCAGGCCCTTAGTACCCCAAGCCTGTCTCCTTGTTGGAACTGAAGCAAGATATGTCCTTTGTATTCTATGTTTGTCCCCTTTTCATTCAGGAGCACCATGTGGGTGTTTTGTCCTTGGGGAAACAGGAGTATCCTGCTTGTTGCCCTATGAGAACACAAGTACATGTGCCTTGTTTGTCTCACTAGAGAATTCCAGAGCAGGATAGTTCCCCAATAGCCCAAGTTTGTCTGCAAAGGGGATTCCAGAGCAATATAGCTCCCCAGTAGCCCATGTTTGTCTGCCAAGAGGATTTCAGAGCAGGATAACTCTCCAGTCCCTCATGTTTGTCTGCCAAGGGGATTCTGTAGAGCAGGGTAACTTCACAGTCCCCCATGTTTGTCTGCCAAGGGGATTTCAGAGCAGGATAACTCTCCAGTCCCCCATGTTTGTCTGCCAAGGCGATTCTATAGAGCAGGGTAACTTCACAGTCCCCCATGTTTGTCCTCCAAAGAGATTCCAGAGCAGGATAACTCTCCAGTCCCCCATGCTTGTTTGCCCGGGGAAATTCGTGAGTGAGATAGGTCCCCAGTACCCTTGGATATCGGCAGTGATTTAGATGCCTCTGCTTTTGCAAGGCTAATGTGAACGCTTTAATGTTAGTAAACATATTCTTGGGAAGAACATTGTTTGTTGAAGTATATGTGGTATTTATGTGAGGTCATTTGTTGTATTTCAGAGTGATAGATGGCTTTGACACATTGGATGCCCTGGAGAAACTGCCGGTGAACGAGAAGACGTTCAGACCAACAAGTGACATCAAGATCAGAGATATCACTATTCACGCAAACCCTATAGCTGGATGATAATCAACAGTTGTGTTGTTGAGATCAGAATCTTGTAGGTGGGGCATGTTTGACAAATATCTAAAAACTACTATTTGCATTCCACCAAATGCAAGTCTACATGCTCAAAGAAATTGATTTTGCATACACTATGTACAACAGCGTTGGAAATTAATTTTTAAGACTAGTCCTGAAGAGTAGTGTAAAGTGATATCTTCGGGTGTCCTCCAAGTTTGGTGTGAAGGGTTGCATCCTCTAGGCATGCCAGAAACCTATGATTGTAGGTTTTACATCTGGTTTGCTTCCAGGATTGTCAGCGCCGAATCTATGCAAGTGGGTTTCACTAAATTGGTAAATGTCTGAGACCTGCATTCCTTCTGGCTCCTCCCACAGTGTTCGCTCGTCACGCAGAAGATCCGAGTTTGATTCTCCACATGGGTACAATGTGAAAATTCCATTTCTGGTGTCCCCTGTCGTGATATTGCTGGAATATTGCTAAAGCGGCGTGAAACTCAACTCACGCTCTCACTCCCTCCTCCCACAGTAAAACCTGTGAAGAACTGGGTCAGAATTGGTCTTCAGTAACCCATGCTTGTCATAAGAGCCATCTAACGGGGATCGGGGGATGAGTGAGTTTAGTTTTACGGCCACACTCCGCAAAATTCCAGCTATATGACAGCATCTGTAAATAATGGCAGAGTCTGTAAATGTTTGAGTCAGGACCAGACAATCCAGTGATCAACATCATGAGCATCGGTATACGGAATTGGGATACGATGACATGTGTCAGCCAAGTCAGCGAACTTGACCACCCGATCCTTTCTTACGGCAAGCATGGGTTACTGAAGATCAATTCTAACACGGATCTTCACGGGTGCTGATTTTAAGACAGTGGAACAGCATGTTATCTTTCAAGGAGAATTCAGGAGGATATGCTGTAAATACAGTACACTGTACATAACGTCATTGTATCATTAAGGCGTGTGTGTGTGCGTGTGTATGCTTGCGTGCGTGCGTGTGTGTGTGTGTGTGTGTGTGTGTGTGTGTATGAAGTGTACATGCATGAAAGAGAGAGATATTAAAAATGAATCTGTCAACATTTCTAAGACTTGTTTTGTCATGAGATTGGTTTGGGAGTTTGTCTTCCAGAATGAAAAACAGGCATGTTTCCTAATAGTTACTGAAACAAATGGGGACCGGGCCGTGTAGCTGGAATATTGCTGAGTGTGGCGTAAAACTAAACGTGGAATGTTCCTGGTATTGGACACCATCGCCCAAACTCAACGATCCTCAACAATAGCGTGCGCCTGCACATGGATTTCAATTGTAATCAGTCTTGTTATTGGAACAGGTGGCGCACGTACTTGTAACTGCGGTCCAGACTCATGGTGAAGTGAGGTGAGGTGAAATTGGGTTTAACGTCGTGCTTGAGAATATTTCGCTCATATGACGACGTGCATGCATGTGTATGTGTATGTGCGGCTGCTTGTACTAGCCCAGACGTAAGCTGGTTTTATAGTGCTAGCCCACTGAGATACCATGCCGCAGTGAAGCATGAATACCCCACTCAGACACATTATACTGACTCCGAGCCGACCAGTCCTCGTTGTACCCATTATAGTCTGTTTCCAGTGAAAACGTATCGATGAATGTCACTTTAACCAAAAAGTAAAACAAAAAAGTGAAATTAGGACTGCGAATCCTCACGATTTTACCTTGCCAATGGAACATTTAAATCTCAGAAATTTATTCGACTTAGGATAAAAGTTGTTTAACAAAAAGATCATAGTTTCGTATGACTATTATTGGTTTGTATTAAATGTTCAATTGGCAAGGTAAAATTATGAGTATTCGCAATCTTAATTTCACTTTATTTGATTTACTTTTTTGTTTAAAGTGAAATTCATCGGTACGTTTTCACTGCAAACAGACTATAATGCCGAGCGCCAGGCAGGGACCAACAAGTACCATATTTTAACGTCTTTTGGTATGACGCGGTCGGGAATCGAACCCGCGACCTTCCGCTCTCCGGGCGGACTTGTCGCCGTACGTCTCAAGAGTGTAATGATTAGTGTTAACTGATCACTAACTCGAAGTTAATATTTAAACCCCGAAAGACTTGAATACAGACCCAATTTTCCTTCCCTTCACAACATAAAATGAAGTTGGTAGGTTTTGGTTTAGTTGTTTAACGCCGCACTCAGCAATATTCCAGGTATGTGGCAGCGGTCTGTAAATAATCGAGTCTGGACCAGACAACCCAGTGATCAACAGCATGAGCATCGATCTGCACGATTGGGAACCGATGACATGTGTCAACCAAGTCAGCGAGCCTGACCACCCGATCCCGTTAGTCGCCTCTTACGACAAGCATAGTCGCCTTTTGTGGAAAGCATCCAGACTTGAATATTTAGTTGGAATATTGCTGAATGCGCCGTCAAACAAGCAAAGAAGAAAAACAAACCCACAAACTATTCTTACGTATTAACCACCCGATCCTGTTAGTTGTATCTTACGACAAGCATGGGTTACTGAAGGCCAGTTCTAACCCGGATCTTCACGGGTCGTTTTCCGATTGAAATGAGGTACTTAATCCCCAATAAAGGGACGTACTTTCTTCCGTAATTATACTGAGTAAGGTTTTAGGCAACTTTTAACAATATTCCAGCAATATCACGGCTGGGGTGTCCAGAGATGGGCTTAACACATTGTACCCATGTGAGGAATCGAACCCGGGTCTTCTGCATGACAAGCGGACGCTTTAACCAATAGGCTACCCCACCGCCCCGACTGCAATTGAGTCCAATGTCTCTCTTTTGCGTTGCTTTCCATGTTTTGAATACCGCTCAGAATAAGAACAGACATCTACTGAAGTAAAAATTCAGCAGATCCAAGGACAGCAGAGAGATCCCGTCCGTAGACGTCCCTACCGAATCATCGACGCTAGGATTCGATCCTTGAAGGCCGGCCTTCTTGCCGACAGACTTACTGACTTGAATTACACAGACCATGTGTCAGAGTTGCTTCATCTTGGCTGAACATTCAGATTACTTTAGCGCACATATAAAGGAGTTTTGGCAAGAAGAAATAACTGGACTCATCTTTTATATATTTATTACTTATACACCTGCAGCAATCACTTATTTATATAAAACAGACACACAAGTATATATATACTATATATACAGATATGTTATATTGTGTGACATATGATACATGCATGTTGTTATATTGACTAAATAAATATATTGTCTACTATATATATCACACTCTGTTTTAATTAGTTTGTTAATTTCGAGAACACTGGGAGTTAAGTCACTCATGTAGAACATCACCTCCCTTTCCCCGGACTGTTGACAAGTAATTTGGACGGATTATTTCTTGTCGACAGTTCGGGTATAAATCACGCCGGAGACCCCGGTTCGATTCCCCACATGGGTACATGTTACTAAAACCCTACAAAACGATTTGCACACGTAAAGGCAAATAAATAAATAAATTGGAATGAATGAATTAATTAATGTTTTAATGATTTTATTGAAATTTATTAATTAATTAATGTTTAGTCCTCCAAGACCAATGTTTAAATGTCATCGCGGCATTTATGAGATGGTGTGTCACATGACATGGTGCGTAATGTTTCGACAACTTCACAAAATGATGGCTTCATCCTTTTCTGTTTTTAATTTTTTACACTATCTCAGCTTACCTGCCATCGTAATGACAGTCAATCTCCGCACTGCATTGCATTATAGATGGATTTGGTAAAAAGTAATCTTTTAGCAATCTTTTGATACTAATCACATTTCCAGTTATCATTTTGACTGAAGACCAGAATCCAAGTTAAAGTTTAATTGATGTCTTCCAATTGGACCCAGGGAATATTTTTACCAATGTCACGAAAGGCCAAGCTGGCGAGACAGATAAAACACACAAGCACTATCTGAATAGTTTTGATGCATGTATATATATACTCTTAAAAAATATAGGGGAACCTGAAATTTCAGTTTCAACTGGAAGTATAAACGTTAGCAAATTTTTCAAAGACAGACATCTTAGGAACGCACCACCATTTCTTTTTATCACCACCCCTAAAGACAACGCATGGGATGCACTAGTCTGTCGTACAGACCCTGAAGTAAATATATCCAAGAAAGCCCACACAAGTCTAGAAAATGTGGCAAGTCTAGATTTCCTCAGCTTCTGAAAATGAAGAAAGTCTCAGGGCTCCTTTTCATTATATTTTTTTTTTTTTACTATGAACCTTTTTTCAGTAAAATATGTTCATTTCAGAGACTAGTTGTTAGTCTAGGGATGCACGTGCACAACGCAGTAGCCTCATACACGTGGGGTGTCAATCTTGAATTTGACGGTTTTCAAGAAGGTCGATAAATCACTGTAGACCATTAATTTGGACAATCATCTTGCATCACACAGTTGTTGGTGTTTGTTTCTAGCCGGCTTATTTTGTTTGAAAATGAAAACCATACACAAGCAAATTTCCCGTCATCCACCAGTCATCTGTCAAGAGCGATTACTGTACAAACAACTGTGGTCATAAGGAAGTGCAGGGGCGGTGGGGTAGCCTAGTGGTTAAAGCGTTCGCTCGTCACGCCGAAGACCCGGGTTCGATTCCCCATATGGGTGCAATGTGTGAAGCCCATTTCTGGTGTCCCCCGCCGTGATATTGCTGGAATAGTGCTAAAAGCGGCGTAAAACCATACTCACTCACTCACTCACTCACTCACTCACTCACTAATAAGGAAGTGCAAGTGGTGATGCACTCTCAAAACATTCATTATTATCATATCAACATTGACGGACTCCGATATATCTCCCAATCTTTTCAATCGTAAATTAAAAATGAAGTTCTACTTTTTTTAATAGTGTATAATGCTGTATACAGTTGCGACGTATAAGTTTCAAATATACACCAAATTGTAAACCTAGGAATTGGTTCCATCAACACTACATTTTGAAATCAGCAAATGACTACACAAAATGAATGAATTATCAACAAGCTATGTTCAAATACAGTTTTAAGTTTACATTAAGAAGGCTTTATGGGACGAATATGTTTCAGCAGTAACAGGTCCTAGAACTGATTATTGTTGGATATTTATATCCACGCACTAGTGCATGCTCACGGAGCTAGTATTTTTTTACTCGATCATTGGATGTCAATCTCAACGGCACATCGTATTATCAATCTCAGCTCCCTAGGGAACATACAACTCTTGCTGCCACAAGGCGCACCGAGTTACCGCGGCTTTCCCATTCTTACGAGGTACCCATTCACAGCTTGGTGGACTTGGACACATAGTCACAGTACTTTGTCCACGTTTTTGAGTTTACTCCAAG